AGACGTCTCTCATAATTAGTTTTCAGCAACAATAATCCGTAGTTCCACAGTGGCTTTCCGTAGTTCCAATGTTGTAACAACATTGTCATGACATACACATGTACAGCCTCAGGGTGGGCATGCTTGGGGCAGTGGTGGCTCAGAGGCTCTGAGAAACTCAGTCATGCTTTTATCTTTAGTAGAACTGATTCCTGAAACAGTGTCTTCACAGGTTTGCCAAAAATAAAGACCATCAGAAAGCTGCAGCTGATCCAGCTGCCCATGTTCTCACTACAGCTAAGAAAGTAGAGCACATCAGCCCGATTTTGCAGTCCTTCCACTTGCTCCCTGTAGCTCAGATTAGACTTTAAAATCCTTATGTTAGTTTATAAATAACTGAATGGATCAGCAACTCAATACATTAACAGATTTGTTGTCAGTGTATCAACCTCTCAGACCACTCAGGTCTTCTAATTCCAGCCTACTCTGTACACCCAGAACTAGAATCATATAGAAGCAGCATTTAGTTCCTATGCTCCACTTATCTGGAACAAACTTGCAAAAGACTATAAAAGTGTTGACTGTGGTCCAATTGTTTTATGTTCATTGATTTATTTTCTTTGTTTTATTTACTACATGCTTTAAATCTTGTTTTTAGGACTTAATTGCTTTCATTCTGTGTTTACTTTGCTTTTATGTATTGTTTAATTCACGCAAAGCACTGAATTGCCTTGCCAAGATGGGTATTTGAGACTGTGGTTTTCCTTTCTCCAATTTTAACTTCAGAATAAAAATGTATCCAAACTTGTGCACACTTTCCTGTTCTGTCCCTATTCCATTCAAATCCATATCTGAAAGCTGAAATTGAAGTCTATGTATCTCCCTTTATTGAATGGTTGAAACTTTTTATTTACCTGTTTATTTGAATTGGTAAATATTTACAAAAAATACCTGTCTGTAGATAGAAAATTAATCACATTTTCATTTTGTCCTTTAGTGCAGTTTGAGACAGAAGGTCATCAAGCTGTCTTTAGCATCAAGATCCGTCATGCAGTAACTCCAAAACTTTACAACACTGGCTCTAAAGAAGGTACAGTACAATTATATTTCTATAACTGTTTACAAGCTGTGATTTTATAAACTTAACTAAAAGTTGAAAATAAAACACTCAGCTTACAAAGCTTTCCTTGCTCAATTTGTTTATTTAACTACAGTAAGTTAATTATTTTTTTAAAGAGACAGGATTATACCAGTTGTAAAAACAAAAATGCCTGGATTAAAGGATGAAAAATGTCAATGACATGATTTAAAAGTTGCCTGTTACCAAAAAATTACCCATGATGGCAAGTGGTCTCCCAGAGAGAGATAGATGGAGGACCTTTGTAGGAGGTAGCTGTCTAGAATGTCACTTCTACCTCTCAGGTAGATAGATATTCAACAATTCAACCCAAGACTCATGTAACCAACACAGAGCTATCAGGCCATCAAATAACTAAATGTTACTGTCATAATCAAAGTTTGAAGCGTGTTCTCCTTTAATATTTGTCCTCTGCAGAGTATAATATCAGCGCTCTTGTTACCGTGGCCACAAAAACCTTCCTGCGTTATGAAAAACTTCAAAACCTTATCGACAGCATCAGAAGATACTACCCTACGGTCACGATAGTAATTGCTGACGACAGTGAAAATCCTAAAACTATTTCTGGGCCTTATATCGAGCACTACATAATGCCTTTCGGGAAGGTAGGGAGCTGGTGTTTGTCTAATGTTGCTGCTGATTCTCTTTGAATCTCTAAATCTGAAACATCTTTTGTCTTAGGGTTGGTTTGCTGGACGAAACTTGGCTGTTTCACAGGTCACGACAAAATATGTGCTCTGGGTGGATGATGACTTTTTCTTCACAGCCAGTACCAAGCTGGAGAAGCTTGTGGATGTTTTAGAGAGGACCACTCTGGATCTGGTGAGTGCCATAAGAGATCAATTATGGCTCAGTGAGAATGTTTTAAGCATTATCACAGAGATTTGTCTGCATGTTTCTGCGTGTGTATTTGTAGGTTGGGGGTGCAGTGAGAGAAGCCACAGGGTACACGGCTACCTACAGGCAAACCATCTCCATCGAGCCAGGAGAAGAGGAAGGAGACTGTTTGCACATGAGAAGAGGATTTCATCATGTTATGGAGGGATTTCCTAACTGTGTTGTGACAGACGGGGTCATTAATTTCTTCTTGGCTCGCACGGATAAAGTCCAGCAGGTCGGCTTTGACCCTCGCCTCGCCAGAGTTGCTCACCTGGGTGAGTTCAGTAAAAGCACAGAGATTAGATTTGATAACAACGCAGCTTTAAAATGTGGCTGACTTAAAATATGCTTCACCTTTTGTTCCCTTGGTACACACAAGAGAAAGAAGAAACACACTGTTCATTGTAATTATTTTTAGAAAAGTTGCTAGGCAACAGGAATTTGTACCACTGTGAGTACTTAAAATATTTTTAATAGAATAGAATAGAAAATCCATTAATTGTCCACAATGGAGAAATTCTAGTGTTTACAGCATTAAAAAGATAATAGGAAAAATGGTCACACAAGTGTGGGCCTTACAAGAATAATATAATAGTGAAGA